GGTGCATATTTTTTCCTTATATTTTGTTTTCATAATTTCTTTACATTTTTAATAGAGAATTTATTTATATGGATCAACTTTCATAAGTTACAAAAGAATGTACAAAATGTATAAGATGTTCTCTCCTAACCCATTTCTCTCCCTAGAGGAACATAGTACCAATTTTTAAGACATCCTTCCAAAGATAGTATATGCACATGTGTTTGTATAGTTCTCTTTTTCTCTTTTACACATAAGAGGTAGCAAATTCTTCACAATGCACAGGCATACCACATTTTATCGAGCTTACAGATGTTGCTTCCCCCTCGCCCCCCTCACAAATCAAAGGCAGGACCCTCCACTAGTAAAAAAGATGACCACTCGCTTTATTGCGATGGCCTGGAACCGAACTCGCAGTCTCTCTGAGGTGTGCCTGTACCGATCTTTCTTCCCCTCAAGGTAGACAGTCTACCTCATTCTTTTTTTGTGTGGCTACATAGTGTTTCATTGATTGGCTAGACCATAATTTGTTTGCCCAGTCTCCTATCCATGTTGACTTAGGTTGCATGTGACAGTATGCTACAGGACCAGAGTCGGGGGAAGCAAGGGCAGCATCTGGGGAGCTGAATTTAAGGGGGCACTCGGTCACGGGGTTGTGCAGATGCAGGGCCAGCCCTTGCACAAATCTGGGAGTGGGGACCTCCTCAAGTCTTACCCTCGCTCCCCTGTCTGTGCTCTTACAGACAGGCTGCAATAAACATTCTTGTTTGTACTTTTTTTTGCACATCTTGTTGGGAAAATTCCCAGATGTTAAAATGTTGGTGACAAAGTGTATCCGTGTGAGTTTTCAAATTTGAATAAAGAAGACCTTCTGCACTCCAGCCAACACTATAAGAGGGAACCGGTTTCCCTTACATTCTCGCCAACAAATTGTATTAGCAACACTTTCTGATTGTCGTTAGCTGGATGGGTAACATATCAAGAAAAATGTGGTCAGGCCGATTAACTCTTTAAGTGATCATCGTCTTGCATCTCCATGTAGACCCACGGAGTTTCCTGCAGCTCGCTCTCTCCCCCGGATCACGTTCACCCTGCATCTGCTCATGATACCAGCCAGGAGATGGTGTATGGCCCTTTTCCATCCGTAGCTGAGAGCACCAGCTCTGGAGTCAGGCTGGGTTAACTCGATGGGACCTGGATTTCGGGTTGCCAGATTTAGCAAATAAAAATACAAGAATACAGATACTACACGGGGCATACTATACTAAAAAAATTATCCATTTGAATTCACTTTTAACTGGATGTCTTATATTTTATCTAGCAGCCCTACCTGGGTTAAAATTCAGCCATGCCACTTAGGAACTCTGTGACCTTGAACGAGGGCCTCCCCTGTGCCTCAGTTTCCTCATTTGTATTCCTAATTCTACTGCATAGGGTTCTCGTAGGAGCGAATGAGATAGCTGTGTAAAGCACTTAGCTCAGTGCTGAGTACATAGTAGACACTCCAAAAATGTAAGCAAGCTCCCTTTATTACTCTGGCTGGCACACGGTTCACTGCCCCACTTTCCAGAAAGCGTCAGGTCTTCCTTCTGACGCCTCTGCCTTTGCCCTGCCATTCCTTTGCCTCAGAGCGCCCCTTGCTGTTGAGGGCAGGCCCCGGTTCCTCCTAAGCCTTGTGCTGTTGCGTCCTCTGGGAAGGCTATCTCGCGCCCCCCTGGCCGTGTTGGTTTCCCCAACCTGTGCTTCCACAGGGCCTGGTGTTCCCATCACCTACCTTTACAGTGCTTGGTCATCACCTGTTTCCATGTCTGGTTCCGCTCTGGACTTTGAACTCCAAGAGAGCAAAGATAACATCTCACTTAACACTAGTGTGTCCATGACCTAGCACACAGTAGGACAGCAGGTGTTGAGTAAATGCCTAGCTGAAGACAAATAATTTCTGTTCTTCTAGCCTTTGATGACTGGGGCTTTTTAGATTTTTGCCTCTGGCTTTGAAAGAGCAGTGACTGTATTTGGAATTTAACTGTGAAACTCCTATTAACTTTTCATTAGGTTGTATATTTAAAATCCCAGATGGAACCCAAGATTTAGAGGCATAGCCACGGGTGCCCGACTTCAGATTATAAAATAGAATCTTAAAGTAAAAAGAGGCAATCATTCTAAATAAGACCTTTTCATGCTTCTGACACCCCAGCTACTATAACAGAAGTGAATTGTGCTCATTTCTTTCTGTGAGGGGACTTGCCAGCCCCAGAGGTGAATCTGCTTATAACTGTCCCAGAGCTGCTTTGTCTCTGGACATTGCATTGTCCTATGTCTTGCATGTACCAGTGGTATTTTGTTAAGTCAAATATTCCATTGCTATATATGTACACATCTTATAGTAAGTAGCAGCAGAGTTGGCTCTAAAGAGTCTAAATACTAGAGAGATGATCACTTTGGAGAAGCGGGGGGAGTAACCTTGGCTGGCAAGAACAAGTTCACACAATGACAGAACATTCACGTATTTTCTCCTCCGTGTTTTCTCACTCAGACAGGATGAAGCTTGTACACGTTTAGATCGTCTCCTTTCTTCCCATTTCTAGTGTCACACCCCGGTTCCAGCTTTTATTTCCTCTTGGCTGAAAACCATAAAATAGCTCCTCTGCCAGCCCCTCTCTGGCCATTCACCCCACTGTAACCCGTCCCGTCTGCCTTTTGCAGGGGACCTGCATGAGGACATAGCCCTTCCAACATGCCACCCTTCTCAGAACACGTCGGGGCGCCCGTGCCCTCACCGCTCCCTCCCTTGTATAGGGCAGGGGCACGGGGCATCGAGACATTATTTTCGGAAGTGCCTGTCACCTTTAGTCTCTGGGCGTGGGCCAACCCTGCTGGGTCACGGTCCAGTTCCAGAACAGTTCATGGCCGTGAGTGTGTCTGCACTGACAGAAACCCAAACCAGCTTTCCTGAAAGTCCCTGTGCCACTTCAGCGGTGGACTGTGAGCTTAGCTATCCTTGACTCTACAGTTACCATAGGATGAGCCTAAAATTCATTAGGAAATCTAGGGGACTCGGAATAGCGAAACAGCCTTGCATGAAGAACAAAGTCGGAGGCTCACTTCCTGATGTTAAACTTACTGAAAAGCTGCAGTTATCAAGCTCTGTGGTGCTGGCGTAAGGATAGATATATGGAGCAGTGGGATAGAATTAAGAGTCCAGAAATAAACCCTCGCTTTTAGGGTCAATTGATTTCTGAGAGAGTTGCCGAGATACTTCAGTGAGGAAAGGCTCGTCTTGACGACAAATGGTGCGGGGCCAACAGGATAGCCACATTCCAAGGAGTGGACCTACCTCTTTCTTCTCTTTTTATTTATTTTATTAGGATTAAATATAAAAATACTTCAGTGAGATATAGAAATCCTCAACTCCTAGGCATCTGACAGTGCAGATAAAAGTAAATGAAAACAAAAGTTGGCAGAATTACAAGGAGAAATGGATCGGTCCACAATTACAATGGCAACTTAACTAAGTCTTTCAGAAATTGATGCAGACCAGTGGACCAAAAGCAAAGGATAATGACAGGAGATTTGAATCACACCATTAACAGGTTTGATTGAGTGGAAATATGAGGATCTCCACATTCAACAATTAGAGAATACACAGTCTTCGTAAGCTCACATGGGATATTTAGAAAAACTGGCATGTCCTTGGCTTAAAGGAAATCTCGCTGCTGCTAATCTCTTCACAGTCATAATTTCTGAAATGGTTTTGTCTGTTCCCTGTGTTTCTTTCCTGAGTTCTATGAGTTCCTATTTCACATCCGCCTATTTTATGACCATCTAGACTGAATTCCTTTATTTCTGCTTTATGGTCTGTCTTAGCCATAATTGTTTCATATAGACTTTTCTACTTTCTTGTTAATTCATGACGAAAATGAAATATTGGGGATCATTTTCCTGTTTACGACAACGTTTTTCAGGCAAGTTTTCAGTATCCCTAAGAAAGCAGGCTCTTCTTTATTATTCTTAGGCCGGCTTTGCACGATGCCAGGCAAACTCCTCAGGACTAAAATGCTGCAGAATGTTGTCCTTTCTGCTTCTCTCGGTAACGCTTCATAACATCTGAAACTGCTGGGCGCACATCTATAATTTCCCGGACAAGTTATCGGACTCCTTGGTTTGAAGGGAAGAATTTGTGTGTCTTTGGCTCTCGGCTGGCCCCCAGTAATGAAATCAGTGCCTTATACGTAGTGGGCACTCAGTAAATATTTGCTGAATAAATGGCTCAAAAAAACAGATGTGGGACTGAATAGGTCATTAAAACACCCATTTATTAAAGTTTTAATATGTTATAGGAAGTATGGAGGCGAGGAGGGTCCCCACACGCTTTCCAGCTCTTTATCAGAATAGTGACCTTCAGACTGAATCCTGTGTGCGGGGCGGTACGCTTAACATTAAGATGTTGAGCCGTTGCACCCTGACGCCTTGTTAGTAGCATGTAAAGCGCCTCGTTCCCTGTATGAGGGGCACAGTGAGACGCATGTGCCGTTGGCCAAGCCATTCAGGTTCTGAGAAGTTTTCCCATGAAGATGCTCACACAATCTGCAGGGCCACGAATGCAGTATGAAAACTTCTGGTTGGGGCCTGGGGCTCAGAGCCGGGCCCACACACCACAGGCGTGCACATCGTGACCTGCTGAGATGGGGCAGAGATGTTACAACTATTTATATTTGTTTTTCATCTAAATAAAAGATAGAAACTAAGCTTCACTATTATTTAGTATTACTCTCCCATCTCTCAGGGAGCAGCGTTGGGTCAGATGGCCACTCGGGCATTGAATTTCCAAGGCGTCCCGGGAGAACAGTTCAACCCAGGGGGACAAGTGTCCATCTCACTTGTCGATCTGCTTTTAGCACATGGGTGTTTTGCAGTTTCCACGTGCCGGGATGAAGGGATTTCTAGGTTCTTCTCTCTTGTTCGGTGTTGGTAAATGCATAAGCAGCCTTGGCCATGTCAGGACGTGACCCTCACTCTTGCAGGGATGCCCTGGCGGAAGGAGCAGACGGCAGACCTGCAGCGGGTTCTCAGGCACGTGGACAGCGAGATCCCGCTGGTCCTCGTCAGCGGCAACCACGACGTGGGCAACGTCCCCACCCCCGAGACCATCGCAGAGTTTCAGCAGACGTGGGGAGATGACTATTTCAGCTTCTGGGTTGGGGGCGTCCTGTTCCTGGTCCTCAACTCCCAGTTCCTGTACAACTCCTCCGGGTGCCCTGCCTTGAAGCAGGCCCAGGACACGTGGCTGGATCAGCAGCTGGGCCTCGCGAAGCAGCGCAGGTGCCAGCACGCCATCGTCTTCCAGCACATCCCGCTGTTCCTCCAGAGCATCGACGAGGACGACAACTACTTCAACCTCACCCGGGCCATTCGGAGGGAGGTGGCCGACAAGTTCACCAGAGCAGGTAGTTCCTGGGCCCCTGGCGTCTGGGTGGAAGGGTGATCTGAAGAGGCGGCTTCCAGATCCTTCTCCTGCCCCTCTGCAGCTTGGCAAAGGGGAGAGAGCAGCCCAGCTCTGTCACTCACTGGCTGTGTGGCCTTGGAGAAGCCACGTAGCCCTTCTGAGCCTCAGTTTCCTTGTCCGCGAGGTAGGAATAGCAGAAGTAGCTCTCCTAGGCTGGTTGTGAGCAGCTAAGGATGGGGGCCCTGCAGGTAGTGGGTTAGCAGTGAGGGGGGCTCCGAGTGTGGCTCTGTGTGCCCCAGAAGGAGGAAGATGCCAAGGCACCTGTCCTCGTTTCTCTGAGAGGCAGGCCGATCTTCAAGAGCCAGGCTTCACGCTCGCATCACCTGTAACCGGGAGCCTCGAATGGGCTGTATCAGGCAGGTCCTGGGCCTCGCCAGCTTTCCTTTAGAGAGACGGAGTCCTCCAGAACCAGGTCAGGGAAGCGAAGCCAGTGTGATCTCACTGCGCTGTGTGTCTTTAGCTGATCACACCTTTGACACGTGCACGCACACTCACACAAAAGGAAGTCGCTCCCTTGGTGGAGACCTCAGCTGCCGCTGGTTCTCGGTGTGGCACCACCTCACACACACATTTCTCCTGGGAGCATCTGCAGTATCCGCGCACGGAAAACAGTGCGTTCTGAGTTAGCAGTGATCTGGCAGTATTCCGGTTTTGACAACTGTGTGTCTTTGTTTTGGTCGTAATGCCTCCTTTTAGATCTTTCCCGAGTACTTCATCAGACTTTTCTAAAATTTAAATATATTTACTTATTAGGGGGTAGGGAGAGGGAGGAAGCCTGACCCAGTAACGAACACTCGTTGAAAAAAAAAAATTCTGACACCCTTCTTTTCATCCTTGAGCATTAAATGTGTTCTCATTTACTTGCAAAACGTACAATAGGCCCTTCTGTATTTTTGAGGCATTTCACAAAAAGCTTGCATAATTGGAGACATTTTCCAACTGTTCCATAGAGATGAAGTTAGAAAACTTCTATTAAGGCCTTTGAAATTTTATGCCATGCTTGAGTTGGTGCAGAAAACCGTTCTGATGACAAGGAAATGAAGTGTCAAGATGGCATCAGCACCATCACGGAGACTATTTTGTAACAGAATAATGTCAGAGAGAACATTTAATGCCACACAAACGATTCCTTTTACATCAGATGTTAAATGATGCACATGCCATCCGCCAGGCTGCTCTTTGTTCTCTGTTCGTCAACCACAGTCTTGAGTGGCATGTGGTTTCCTGTCGTAGGATGGAGCACACGTGCACCGCGATCACCCCCAGATACAGAGACCTGTAGACACTTGTAAAGAGAGAGCCCACAGTTCTCACACGGCATCCTCGGGAAAGCCTGCTGCCCGCCTACCAGGAGCCCCAGAGGAGGCATCATCTCGGATACTGCAGCCTCCTCACCTGTCAGGCCTGCAGCCCCGCATGCTCCAAAAGGATGTGCAGGCACACCCAGACCTGGTCTGTGTCTCGGAGGTGGACCCCACAGAGACGAGTAGCTGCCACCACAGTGCCAGCTGATTGATTTAGGGCGAGGCTGAACCTGTCCCCTCAGCCCCAGTAGCACAGCCTCCTTCTGTAGTCACAGCGACATGGGACACCAAATTATTATCGAGAGGTTGCTTGCTAAGCATGGCACAGAGCGCGGAGCTAGCCTTCTTATTCCACTCGGAACAGCCTGAGGCTCCAGGGCCCCGATGGACCACCTCCAGTGGGGCCTGCTTGCCCAGGAAGACTCTGATAAGGCTTGTGTCTTTATCTTACCTCCTTAATCTCTCCAGTCTGTCCAGTTCTTTAGGCCACCCAGCTGGGTCATAGCGACAGCGCTGAGCTGGGCCTTGCTCCACTCTTACCCCATTCCAGTCCATTCTCCACCCGGCAGCCAGAGGGGCATATGGCTCCTTAGCCTCCGCCCTGCTGAGGCCTCCTCACCCCCTGGAGAAGCCAGCTCCTCACCCTTCACCGCCGTCTCTACCTCGTCGGTTCCACCTGGCCAACTCCTACCCAAGCTTGACACCTTCTGTACGAGGTACCGCGAGCCCCACCTGCCTTCCTCTTCATCTTCCCTTGGTCCCGGCAGATTTGTACGTCTTGACTTGCCCAAGTGCCCCACCAGGCTCTGAGCTTCTTGAGCACAGGCACGCTGTTCTCTCCCCCTCTGCGTCTGGAAGGCCCAGCTCGGGTCTTAGTGCATAGTGAATGCCTCCTCGAGGTTTGTGGGGCGGACGAAGGACTGCAGCTCTCTGACTCGTGCCCTTTCCCTCAGTGGCCAGCTGACACAGCTCGTGTCTTTGTTTGGCACCCACTGTATGCCAGGCACAGAGCAGACCAAGTCTATGTTCTTGCTGGGCTCCAGGCATACCTCCCATGGTGTGTCCCGAGTGTCAGCCCACATCACACAGCCTCCAAGTCCTTCAGTCTTGGGGAGAGCCTCGTGTTAGTCTTTCTGCTCTGATCCACATGCTGGCTTTCTAGGTTCACTCAGCAGTCAGTTGCTCTCTTCATGAGTGGCCCCCCAGTATTTCCACTGGGGACCACCTTCACGTATGTATGAGATGGTGTCCTCTTCTTGGCTTCTGGCCTTCGGATCTTCACCTCAACCTGCTGCTACAAAGAAAACCAGAGAGATGGGTGCCCTGCCTGCAGTCATTTGTCAGTTTCAGTGGCTTAACCAAAGCAGGCCCTTTGCTTAATGGCCTTTCAAACACAGAACAAACCATGGGCAACTTCCGGAAGAGAGCGGGTCAGAGATGGACACGGCTCTGTGGCAGGCTAAGTGATCTGTTTGGTTTAAGAGGCTCAGGTAGGTGGCTCTCACGAGGAATAGATGTGCCCGTGGCTCAGTTATGCAGGAGATTACTTGGGGCACAGCAATGTAATTTGAACTCATTTTGGAAAGTCAGAAGTTCAGATGACATTTTGTGAAATTAATTAACTTAAAGACCATCATAAAATTGGGGGCGATGCTGGCAGATGGTATTTAATATTGCCTTTGCTTTTCCCCCACAGAGCAATATTATTCCCTAATACTATTTTGGTCTCATTTATCTCCTTGTGCTTAAAATGCCAGTACTCAAAAATATGTCAAAAGCTCATCAGAATATCCAGGGTAGCTTTTAATTACGATAATTGTGTTGTTATAAAATATCCTTTGCAAGAGCACATCCCTCCTCAAACCACCATGGAGGTAAAACCCAGCTTCCTTCCAGCAAGCTTACTGAATAATTCTGAGTCATTGTGTGGGATGCATCAGTGATTTAATAACGAACACCGTTGCACTGATTTCCAAATGGGACGAGGGAGCGGAGGGGGAGGGGTGTCACTGTACAGTGGGCCACTGCATGCATGGGGCTGCGTCTGTGAATCGAAGCCTGCAAACTTCCCAGCTCAGGTTTCCCTAGAAACAGATGCATTCTGTCTCTACTTCTGAAGCTCAACAGGAAACTGCCTTTGTATAATACAAAAATATCAATAGCCAGTGCAAATAAATAGTTATCAGGGCAGGACAGATGCACAGATGTGAAGCAGCGCCCAGTCTTCTCTGTCTTCTTTTTGCTGTGCCTGAGGATAATCAATTTCATCATCTCCATGGGATGTAGAAATTGGTTTTCCCCTTAATTCACCTGATACCTAGTTGAAGTTGCAAAGATAGATAGTAGATAATGAAATGTTGGTTGAACCTGGCCATTGTCTCTGTCTCTTGTGCCTTTTTCAGCATAAGGTTAATATGCGACCCAGCCAATATGGATTCCAATTTAAAAACTGAGTATTAAAAAACAAAAGTCCAGCTATTTAACTGCTTGCTTTTATGTTTCGTTACCTTTTCTTTTTTTCCACTCTCAACAGAGAGATTAGAACTGTATAGTAGAGAGCCCAGAGCGAATTTGGCAATTATGAAAAATCCAATAAGTCGATCTTCCTGCAAAAGTTAATGAGTAATTTCACAGAATTATAGTTTTATCTCTAGTATTTATGCTTAAAAAAAAAACTAGAGGGAGAGAGATCTTAGCCCAAGGTTATGGTTTTAGAATTTCGAAGTTTTAAAGAACAAAAAGGTTAGGTTTCCAGGGTTCACTTTATAGGAAAAAAATAAAACATCAAATTCTACCCTAACATCTTACCATGTCGTATTATTTATTTATATCCTGCTTCTTTCAGGAAGTGGGATCCCACCTTTGCTCACCTTTGTAAGCCAGCCACTGGCCAAGACTGCCACATAGTAGCCCCTCCGTAAATAAATATTCGTTAAATGGCATTGTTTTAAGCTTGACTCAGGTCTGTTCATCAGCAGAATCATAGGTACTGTCCCTGTAGACTGGTGTTTACCGACCGACCGTGAGGTGGGGACGCGTTACCCGGAGCAGGGGTTGGCAGGCTTCTTCTGCAGAGGGCCAGACATTCTGGGCTGCAGTCTTGCAGTCTTGTACGGCCTGTAGGCCAGCTCCACCTTTGAAGCATGAAGGCCGCCTCAGACTGAGTGCCAGTTATTTACAAAAACAGGTGGCTGGCCTACAGGCCGTAGTTTTCCCACCCTTGGTTAGAGAAAAATTCCTATTTCAGTGTGTCACTCTTTCTCCCTGCAAGACGTTGTCCATACTGTGCATGTGTCCAGCTCCAGGATGCTTGTGGCGGCGCCACTGTGACAACACCCTGAGCAAGACTCAGGTTCCGCAGTGGAGGGCGTGCCTGGGTGAGGCACACTCCATCGGAGGCCCGTGGTATAATCGGAGGTGGGGTGGAGGCGGGAGGGTACATGGGAGGCACTTAAAATTTAACACGTGTTTATTTTAACATACCTTAAAAAAATATAACTAGTTCACCAACTGAAAGAAAAACATGAAGTAAATAATAGTATGGGGAGTATGTGGGTAAGGCAAAACTCATGAAGGTGGGACAGGGTGACTTGTTGGTGCCGTGTTGGCGCCGGCAGGACAGGCGACGCCACGTAAC